ATAAAAAAATTTAAGAAAGCAATCCCAAGTTTAATGGGTTAAGTATGATTTAATAATATAATTTTTTTTGTTGCCAAAAAGTTTTGGTGAGGTTTTTTTTTTTAAAAAAAAATTTGGTAACTGTGTCGGAGAAGTTATCAAGGTTAGCGTGCGCTTCTTTGTTGAGAATGTTTATGGAAATATTTAAGGAAAAATTTATATATTTAAAGTACTTACTTACAATTAAGTTAAGACATATGGATATTTTTATATATTATTTATTTTATAATAAATTTTTATTATTAATATTATTAATACATAAAAGTTCACTTGTCATGATTTGAATGAATAAAAGGGTTTTTCATATATCAAACCAAACAAATAATCTAACATTTATTATATTTTGCATTATGACCTATTTATTATATTTATTAATAATATACTGTTATATATCAATGATAAACCTCTTGTATATCCATATAAATTAATCACATTCTTAAATTTTTAAAAATTTGGTCCATATGTTTTAGGCACAATATTTCTTTCTTTTCTTTTTTTTTTTTTACCAATGAGCCAATTTATCTTCAAATAAAAATGTTTTAAAGTATATAAAATTAAATACATAAGTCTTATCCAAATATTTATTGATAACTCACCATATTGACATTACAAAGACAGACAAAAAAATTGAAACTTACAATTTTTATGGGTTATGAAACAACTTACTACAAATTGGCATTAGTCTTAATAGAAGAAATTGTAGTAGCTCAAATATGAAGTATTGAGTTCAGGTTCGTGTAAATGTATAAATTTTTTTTTGAAATAATTATTTGTAATTAAATTTGATAATATTTTAATATGACATAATTACTTAATAAAAAATGTTTACCCACTAGATTAATTTTTTTATTAATAAAATACAATATTTTTACATTACAATATTGAAGAGCTTCCCAAAGTGAGCCATCATCACTTTGCAAGCTTGAAAGTAGGATTGAATTAGCCATCCTCTAGTGGCAACCATCAAGAAAATAAGGGAGCTTATTATAAGCAACTAGACGGTTATTTTTGATCACGTTTTTAGAGAGGCAAACAAATGTGCTGATTTGCTCACACAGGAAACTTCGCATGACAACTACGACCTCTCTATTTATAACATTTTGCCTATGGGATGTAAGAATATTTTGAACTCTGATATGTCCTAACTTTTGTAACCCTAGCACGGTCTTGACCATGTCTTTTCGTTAAAAAAAAAAAGTAGGATTGAATTGGGTTGGGAATGGGGGCATGGGAAGTGAAATCAGGTGCGAAGGGTCTGCATCCTCTCCTTATCCTCATTCTCTTTTTCTTCTCCTCATCTCATCTCCACCTTCAAATAATAAAATCAATAATTGAGATTTAATTTTTTTTACCAACAGATTTAATTATTTTATATCTTATTAAAAAAATAAATAAACTTAAACTGTTAAAATTCAACTTGTACAATTCACAAATGTACTCCTTTGATCTTATTTATAAGTTATTTCTATCAATTTCATCAATATTCAGGGGTGGACCTAGCTTTGGATTACAAGGGGGCTAAAGTTAGAGTTGCTAACCACATATATCACCTAAATCCCAAAATGAATACGTAGGAAATTATGCAAATTCTTCTCCTGTTTATTTTGTTTTGGGGCATATCTGGATTAGTAAAAAAATTATACAAGTGTGGGAATATGTGATGCATATCTAACTAATATGGGAAGCTCTACTCATTTGAAGCATAAGTGCAACATTGAACGAATGTAAGGAATGAAAATATCAATAATGAGCAAACATATATTCATCAAATTTACACAAACAAAGGATCATGTGTATGTGTTGGAACTTGGAATTAAAAAAAGAAGAATCTATTGTCAGAGAGAGGCATGAGAGAAGTAGTGTGAAATTGCTGGAGAAGGAGAGGAATCGAGTGAGGAAGATGTTGACGTTATTTTGATTCACTCTTTTGCTTGCCCAATCAGCTATCTCATTATCAACCCATTCGGTCAAGTTTATGCAGCTCCATGTCCTATTATTGCATTGCAGGAGAAAAAAAGAAAGAGTTGGGGGGGGGGGGGGCCAAGGCACCCTCCATACACAACGTGGATCCATCTTTGTCAGTATCAATATAAAAAAAATATAAAAAATAAAAATAAATAAAATTTTAAATATGTCCCTCATATAACAAATTTTAAAACTAATATTATATTATTTTTTTCACTCATGAATGATAATTTTAAAATATTACTTAAAAAGGTATACTGCGATTTATAAATACGACCAAATGAATTTGCTAAAATATTATTTAAATAGACCTTCTACAATTAAAAATTTTTATTTATATTATTGCACTCATAAATTATGTAGTTAAATTTTAACAGTTTAACTAATTAAGAAAGTTAAGCGACCTTAAATTTGGGTTTAAGAATATGCAGTTACGTTTAAATAAATATGATAAAGATGTTTTTGAAATAGTAATGAGATTGGGTATGACTTTCATATAGCTAGCGAGAATCTAAATTAGTCTGAGTGAAAAATAATGAAAAAAGAAAAAAGAAAATCTTCGCCGTGGAGGGACATGCAGAGAAGCGCGGCGGAGAGGATCTCCTTCCGTGAAATGGGTGAAATACAGTGTGGAATTGGCGGAAGACACAACAAGGTTTGAATTTTGTACATTTGTCAGCATTTGATTTGGACAGCTGTTTGATTTCCTCTTTTTGACTGTACTTTCATCTTTATCATTTTTTTTCCTCTTTCTGCATAAATGCCAAAGTACACCCATATTCCTCGTTGGTTATTTTCCCTCTTTCCCTCCTCAAAATTTATATCGTATTTTCTTTTTCAATTATATATATTTCCTCTATTTAAAATATATTTTAAAAAATATCATCTTTTAATAAATTAATTAATTATTTTTAAATTCACACAACTTTCTATGTTTGGTGTTATTTTTTTAATTTCTTATAGTATTTTCATAAGATCAATCTCTCCAAATTGATTACCATTTAAAGGTTTATCATCTCCATGCCCTCCATACATATTTTAAAAAATTAAATTTTGAAATGATATTTGAGAGGTTGAGATTACTATTATCTGTGCCATACTCACTTAGATTATATTTATTGTTATTTAATTGGATGTTTTACTAAAATTTAAAAAGTAAGGTGATTTATTTATGAAAAATATTTTTTTTGGCCAAAAAGAAAATTTTATTAATAAAAGAAAGAAATACAAATACTAATAGCCAAAGCCAAAAAAATACTCAAAAAAATCTAGATACAACCTAACACACCAGTAATCGAAAAAAATACAAACAACAGAACAAAAACAAAAAACCAGAACAATGCAAAAAATTGTAAAACAAACTAACCAATACCATTCCTATTAAAACATCTGCTTGAACAGCCCAAGCAATCCTCACGCAACACTGTAACCAAAGGAGATGGTACAGACACCAGCCATTCAGCATGGTACATCTCCCTTACAGCACCAACTGCTAAAAAATCAGCAACCCTGTTACCTTCTCTCGAACCAAGTAAAAGGAAATATCACTCAATGAAGCCTTCAACTCCAAAATATCCTGCACCAAATTCTTGCATCTCCAATCACAACCCTTCAAAGAATTATTCAAAATCATCATGAATAAGAACTCACAATCCATCTCCAAGCAATCTTTAGTACCCACAAACTTTGAAGAAACCAAAAGAGCCTCCTTTAATGCCAAACACTGTCATAAAAGCAGAACTAGATTGGACCTTCTTCCCCTTACCTCCTAAAAAACACCAAATTCATTCCTATAGATCAATCCCACACCAACAGCATTGGTCTTTTCCCCAAAAAAACCATCAAGATTAATCATGAAGAATATTTTTTAAAAAAATCATTAATAATACATTAAAAAAATTCTTATATTTTTAAGATATAATCTAAAAAACTTATATTTTTTTATATTGAGGGCAGGTGTAATCCTGTTTTAAACAGAGGGAGAATATATATACTCTTTCTGTTAAAAAATGTAAGGTATTTTTAATTAAATATCAACTTTCAGTAAAATAGTTATTTATTTTCAAACTAACCCTATATTTTTATATTTATCTTTATTAAATACCCTATAATAAATATAAAATTATTATCAATAGGGACACTTTTAAAAAAAGATAATAATTATATCTCGAAAGATTAAAAATGTCTTATATTTTTAAATATCTAACTCTTCAAAAAAAATTTATATTTTTTAATGAAGAGAGTAATTATTATCTATGCTTATTATGGCTATACAAATCTAAATTATTTTCCCCCTAACCAATAATACTCTTATCTCGATATAAGAGAAAGGAAGTTATCCTAAAGTCATATTATTTGTGCTATATTAATTTAAAAATAATATTATTTGAATAATTAGAAATTATTAATTATCATTAGTTTAAATGAAAGAAAATTAATTTTTAAGGTAAAGTTTAGGATTTAATTCTTACGTTGGCAAAAAAAAAAATATTCTTATAAACAGAAAAAGAATCAATGTTAAGAAAGACAACTTAGCATACAATACTTAAATCTTATCAAAAGGCGCTTGATATGAAAAATGATTAATTGAAAATTCTAATAAAAAATCTTAGAAGTTGTGTTTAAATTTTTTTTTTAATTTATGACCATAATCCAAATCAACAACAATAATTAAGAGTTAAAAATGAATTTATGATTCGTTCCTCCGGTATCTTTCTGTTTATATCGTAGATGTCATAGCAGGAGATCTAGGACCCTGGGATTTCCTCAGCATTCGTAAATGCAAGTGGAAAAAAATAAAGAAAAGAGTCTTCATAGTTTTATTTAATCTTTTTAAATTCTTTGTCTGTTGTTTACCGGGTAGAGAGAGAGAGAGAGAGAGAGAGTTTGTGTGTGTTCTGTCACGATCATTGGTTGCACGTGGAAACTCACAAGGTAAAAATTTCTTCTCAGATAATATTACCCTTTGAAATTTTATGTATGATTCAGTAAATCAATGGATTGTGGTCTTCGGGGTATATATGTGTACATGTATTTCGTGTTCTGACCCACCTTCCCCCTTCGTCAGCTTCTTCTCTCTGCCACCCATCACCTCTTCCTCTGTTCTTGTGAGCATTTCCTTCTTCCTTTCGATCGTTCTTTATTACAGTCTCGGTTCAAGTTCTGCCAGTAATTTTAAACTGCATGAGGTTATGATTAACCTTCGTGGTTTTATAATATCGTTTTTTCTGCTTCACGGGGATGAGAATTGAGTTTATTCAATGATCTGCGCTGCAGGCGTTTGATTTTTTCCCCCTGCCTGTCAAAATTTTTTTTCCACTATCGTAGAGTGTAAACTTTGATTCCTGTGTATGTATGTGTGTGTTTGTGTGTCTGTGTATGTATATATGTATTTTTTTTTTTTTCATCGATCCTTGGACGTTTGCGGTACGATGAACATAACCCTTTTGTTAAATTGCCTTGTTTTTCTCCCAAAGATTGCACTTGCGAATTGAAAAATTTGGGTTGAATCAAATCAGGTGGTAGGTTTATAGTATGTTTAGATTCTACTATCAGTGACTCAACTGAGTCTTATAATTCACAGGCATAAAAGGATCTGTGTCCATATTGTTCCCCTTTGTTTAGATTTTTGTTTCAATCCGTGAAGCATGATCTTGGAAATTTTTGGTTGGCATTTGATTTTCTAGGTTTAGGCGGGGTAAAGTCAAAGCTATATATATGCTTAGTGCTAATAGCAGTAATCTAAGAATGGATTTTCTTGGAGCATACATGTCTTCTATTGGAATTCTCTGATGCCCTCTTTGCCTTATTTATTTATTTTTGAAGCAAGAGCTATTCCTTCGAAGCATGGCTCTCTCTGGTGGTCACAAAGATAGAGGAGAGTTGAGGATTCATGAGAGTTTGGATGAACTAAAGACAGATTTGGCTGATTATATTGCTGAAATATCAGAGATATCTGTGAAGGAACGGGGAGTCTTTGCCATTGCTTTATCTGGTGGTTCTCTCATTGGCTTAATGGGGTATCAGTGATTTGTATTTTTCCACATAATGTTCCTTTACTTTTATGATTTGGTCTTTGGTTTAAAATTATATTGGCAAACAGAAAACTCTGCGAAGCTCCTTATAACAAGACTGTTGACTGGTCCAAATGGTATATCTTCTGGGCCGATGAGCGTGTTGTCGCTAAAAACCATGCTGATAGCAATTATAAGCTTGCAAAGGATGGCCTTTTATCCAAGGTTGCACCCTTGATTTTAATTTTTCATGTTCATCACTGCTCCCTTTATTTATAGTTATTTATGTTACAAATTTTGACGGCGAGGCTCTTCAATATTATAATAACTATGAGCTGCACTGGGAGTTATATTTTATTCACCCTTTCAAGTTAATAGTTTGGGGGAAGAAGGGGAAAAGGTGGGGTGGGGGGGCATGGAATTCGAAAGGCTGATTCACATAATGTTTCTTTTACACAGGACAGGATTATATATTCAAATTTCATGTTGGTTATTTTGCGAAAATATTAGTGGAAAATCCCTTGTTTATCCAAGGCAAATTGGTAGATCTATAGCAGTCCTGTGTCAGTTGTATTGTATGCTTGATGATCTTTTCTTTACTTGCTTCCCTCGTTGGCATATTAAATCATTTGACTAATAGGAGGCTGGTCTGGTATCTTAACCATATATATTGTGGTATTAGATTCCTTGATTTGCTGGTTAATTGATTATCTCCTTGTTTTGATTTCAATCATGATTAGTTACTTTGCAAATACCATTCCTAGAGTCTCATTTTTTTATGCATTCCTAGATTGTTAGTTTAGTACCTTGTGCATTGGCAGGCTGTTGTTAAGTTTATGCTCACTACATGCTCTAGGTTTGTTGAAATGTGAATTCTCTTGATTGTTGTGTTGGTTGGCACATTTAGGGAAGGAAGGAGTGCCTAGTTATGTAGGGGAAAAATCTACTCTTTTGCAGTCTGTCTGTCTAACTCCTGCAAATTGAGATGAACAATTTGTGCTTGGGATTGTAAGATACTTTGAGCTAAAATCTGCGATAGGCACTTGTTCCAAAAGGAATAGTGTGCCAAATCTGCTACGTCATATGGAAAGCATAATTGCCCTTGTTTCTTGTATTTAACTGTTTGGCGAACTGATATCATGGATTATCCCATGACTGTTCTCTGCACTTTATGAGATTTCCAAATGTATTGCTTAAAATATCAAGAAAATTTTTTTGCCAAGTAAGAAAATACTTTCCTCTTTATTGATGGGATGGTAATTGGAGGTGCATAACAGAATTTCATGGGCTAGCAATCTTGATCTTGAGCAATCCCATTTAGCTGTATGCACCAGCCATACATTGCATTGTAGAATCTTTCATAAAACTTGCTATTTGATGAATCTCTTATCCCAACTGTTATTTTCGAATGATTACAAAAAAAGAAAAACAAAACAACCGAAAAGAAAAGATGTGAGTGGATTATTCTTCATGCTGTGTAATTCTTGTCATCTTCTGCCAATTACTCCTTTGCTCTTATATAAGTCACTTCCAACATGTTTTATTAGAACCAAAAAAAAAAAAAAAAAACCTTAAGACTCATTAACTTTGTCTTAAAATTTAGTAAGTTATCAATTTTGCCTTTATTAAATATACATACCTTAACAATATATTTTCTCTCTCCGATATTCCATGGAGGGTAAAAGACAAAATTTATATTGAAAATTTAATAAAATGGCTTATAAATAGAACAAAAAAAAAATCTTCTCTCTCTGTCCTATAAATAAAACTGGAGGGAGTACATGATGGCACAATTTATCTTTTTTTATTATCTTTTTTTAATTGACTAAGAAATTATACTAGAAACAGAGAAATCAGCAACTTGCTGGAGGACAAGATATTTTCAAAGCAGGAAATACTAGAAATGCCTAAAACAGAGAACAGGAATAGATGTCCTAAGATGCCTATTAACATGATAAAGCTGTTCAATCTCTTTGCGTACCTTGTAGCTTGAAAAAAATCCAGTGTGTATTGACATGTGAGCATGTGACATGTCCGTTATTCAGGCCTCAAGCTCATCTCTCATGCTGTTAGTGTTGTCTGTATTCAGGTTGTCCTGTCTCATATGCTGTTTAAGGTCCAAATGACAAAAAGAGGATCTTTTTATTTTCCTCATATGTTAGGGCACATCTTCTTTGTGTATGTGTGTTTTACCTTTTAATGGCATGTACCTTGTGGACATCATGAGTTGTACACCCTTTTTTGTTACAAGATATAAATGATGCTATTGATTAATAATTTATTAATGGAAAGTTAAAAATTAAAGTAATTCAGTTTTTGCTTTGTTATTTAACTGTTGAGGTAAAAAAAAGAAAAAAGTCAACAAGGGGAAGTCTCTGGATACAAATTGTATGTTATGCATTGATGTAAAATGATGTTCTTCAGTCTCATAAGATTACCCAGACATTGTACCTGGTTTAGTTATTTTTATTTCTTAGTTAGTAGTTATTTTATCCTCCTCTCATCATCTGTTAAGTCATGATATCAGGTACCAATTGTTCCCAGTCATGTGCATTCTATAAATGATTCAATGTCAGCAGAAGAAGCTGCCGATGACTACGAATTTGTCATCCGACAGTTGGTGAAAACCCGCGTGGTCAACGTGTCTGAAATCAGTGACTGCCCAAAGTTTGATCTCATACTACTTGGATTGGGTCCAGATGGCCATGTTGCCTCTCTGTTTCCTAATCACCCAGCACTGAATGAGAGGGAAGAATGGGTTACTTTCATTACTGATTCCCCAAAACCTCCACCTGAGAGAATCACATTCACATTGCCTGTCATAAATTCTGCATCCAATGTAGCCGTGGTAGTCACCGGTGACAGCAAAGCAGAGGCTGTACGCTTGGCAATAGATGATGTTGGACCTGAAAGCCCATTGATACCGGCGAGGATGGTCCAGCCTGGGAAGGGGAAGTTGGCATGGTTTTTGGATAAGCCGGCTGCCTCAAAACTTGAAGCTTCCAACTTGTCCAAGTAGTAGTTTGAGGAAGTCCCTTGTAGAGAGGTTTAAGTTTGTATGTAGTGAACTTGAAAAAGACAACTGTGGATCCTTGGATTCTGCCATGAAAAAGGTTAAAAAAAAAAAAAAATCTCCATTTAGCCTTTTCTTTCTCTTTCTTTCTCCCGTTGGGGTCTTTTGGAGAAGTGTGATGATCCTTTTTTTTTTTTTTTTTTTGGGTAAGCGGCCAATAAAGTTTTTGAGAGCGTCATTGAAAGTGCCTTAGTATGGTTCTATTTTCTTATAGAGAGAGTACTGAAGTTCTGATGATGGTCTTTTTCATGTAAGCAATTCGGAAAGGCAAATCAGGTTCTATGTTTCCTTTATATCTCCCCAAGTCTCTTGTTATTTAAAATGGTTTGTTTGAAATCTTAATTTATTGTCTCTCCCTCTTGATGAAATATTAAAGTTATTATTTTTTTTAATCCCTTTTTGAGGAATATTCAGTTGTAATTTGTATTTTGTTTAGATATTCTGTGAGAACTTAATTCATTGTGGAAAAACATATAACTGAATTGATTATTAGATTATTAGGTAGAATGTCAATGAACCAATCCACTTGTGAATTGTTTAGGTATGGCTAGTCAAAAAGTTTGAATTATAGGCAGTTCATTCATTTATTAAAAAGAGATTGATTATTATATTAATTTTTTTCAGTTAAAATCTATAAGGATCTCATTGTGAAATTTAGCTTTAAAAGGGTTTGATAAGTGAAATTATTGTTTAACAATTTAATTGTAAATTTTTAAATCAAAACATGTTTATTATATTTATTTGAACATAAATTTAATAATGAATAGAATTTTTAACTTGCCATTTGCTACATATTAAATTAGTGAGAAAAATTCTGATACATACATTTATATTATATTTAATATTCACAAAATTTAAAACTTCATAAATTTATATATTTTAATAAAACATATTAAAAATAATTTATAAAGACCACTCTTTTAATTGCCAATGTTGTGTTGTCTATATAGAAAAAGATGGTGGGCTAACTCTTCCATATTTTTTTTATTTATGATAATTAATTAAGTAGCATGGATAAGTAGCCTTTTCTTGGGATTGGAGCATCCAATTAAGCTTTGACGCCATTTGTTGTTTTTTTTTTTTTTTGGCCAATTGGTAATTGTTAATATATGCACTGAATGAATGACTTTAGCCGGAATATTTGAAAATTTTTATTTATAAAATACTATCAAAGGGACGCCAAACATAGTTTAAAAAAGAATTAAAACAATGGATGGCATTAACATCTCTAAACATTTTATCAAATTATCCTTGAGATTTTTTATTGAAGCAATTATTATTCCTTCAATTTTTATTTTTTTAATGAACATTTAACTTTTTTGACCAAAATAAACAATTAACTTTTTACACACACGTATAGCTGGGGACAAAAAAGGTTTTTAGGCTTATAGGTTTAATGCTTTTTTTCCCCATCAAAACAAGTGTTTTACCAATGAACACGTAGCTTAATTAGTAAGAGATTGTGCTAATTTAACTAATGATATCAAGTTTAGATACTGAATATGCAGCTATATTAAATACTCATTATAAGAGCTTTGCCACTAATATAGTTCTACCCATCTTGACCAATGAATTTTGATATTCAAGATCATAGCTTTAATTTTGATAAAAGATAATAATTTTTAAAACAAAAGGTATCACCTTTAACTTATCCAATACTAGTGCTAGTGAAATAATTTAGTCTCATTTTTTAAACTTAAAAGTAAATCTAATTAAATTAAAGTGTGAGTGTAATCTATACATACACATATGCACAATCTTTCAGTATTATAAGACATTTTTTTGAAGTAATATGCATTTTGGGTTTTTAAATAAAGTTTTATAATTAAAACATCATATTAAATAAGTGAAAAGAATTTGTAATTTTAATGTCATTAACTAATTTATTAGGAATATGAATTAATAAAAAATACCTTAAAATTTTTCATGGAGAGAGTGTCTAATAAAATCCTGTAAGAAATTCTATTAATAATAAATTATGAATACTTTAACTCGTTTAAAATTCTTTGTAACATTTAATTTTGTTAAACTAAAAGAGAGAATAACTTGTACTTCAAAAATAAAGAGAGGATAACTTTATTTTATGAGGAGTTTTGATGTATTTTGAAATTAAAAAGAACTGTATACACTCTTCAATAAAATCTTTAGAAAATATGTAATTTACTCAAAAAACAAATTGAATAAAAAAAATAGAATTCTTGTTAGCAAGGGGCAAGCCTTTCTATAACCCTACAAGTAAGTCTGCACTTTCTTGGATATTCCTTTACAACTTTCCACGATTATCTTCAATCTTCCCAGGAGATCGAATCTGCTTCTCGCACATTTCTTTTAGAGTTATACTCTTCAATTTCTAATATAATGATTGCATTTCGAATTTACACTCGGTAGAGGAATCACTCATTTGTTGCGTTCTTTTGATGAAAGTGAAATAGATCGACAGCAAAATGGTCAAGTTATCGGTAAGATTCATTCATTCATTCATTCATTCATTATTATTATTATTATTATTATTCAACAAGAGCCTGGGAAATATCAAGAACTAAGCATTTGATTTTGGTATGAACAGAGTCAGGCAACACAATATTGGCAATTAAAATATTAGCTCAAAATTGTCCGTTTCATTTTCCTTAGAATACTTTCTACAATCTTCTTCATGAATATTCAAATCATCTAAAATGATTTTCTACTATTATTTTCTCAATGAATGCTACATCTATTTTTTTTCTTTATATACTCGATTTATATTTTATTTTTATGTGTATGCACACACATTCATTTCAACATTAGCATCTCTACTACTTCACTATTATGCTCTTGTTATTTTGTTAAAGTACAACATTTACTACCACATAACATAATTAATTTTGTAGTAGTTTGATAAAATTTTCTTTTAAATTTATTAAGTACCTTGCAATCACAAATAATTCTTTTAATCTTTCATCAATTTAACTACCCAACTTATATTCTATGTGCAATATTCTCATCAATTTTTTCATCATGTTAAATAATAACTCCCAAATCTCTAAACTTTTCCATGAATATACTCAATCTCCCCATGAAATCGAATCTGCTTCTCGCACATTTCTTTCAGAATTACACTCTTCAATTTCTAGTATCCTGATTGCATTTCGAATTTACACACGGTAGAGGAATCAATCACTTACTGTGTTCTTTTGAAGAAAGTGAAATAGATCGACACCAAAATGGTCAAGCTCTCGGTAAGATCCTTTTTTCCCCCCTTACAAGAGCCTGGGAAATATCAAGAACTAGGAATTTGGTTGTGGCATGAACAGAGTCAGGTATCTTTTGATGCCAAAATCAAACTTCAAAAGGTTGATGTGAATGAAAACACTTGAGCACAAAAAATAAAATGTTAACATTATGACCTGAAGCCACTGGTTTAAGAGTGATCCCGCAACAGATTGAGATTGACAGTGGGTTTGGAGAGTGAACGACACACTGTGGGTTCCTCAATTGGGTCCTACAACATCATATCTCTCTCAATATCTCTCAATCACTCTGAAATTGAAATGGAGAGTTTTGTAAGAAATTAAGAAGCTAGATGCTCCAAGAAAGCAAGGGCATTTTCTCTCTTTAAATCAAATATTCATGTCATCATCATGTCATTATCCAAACTCTACATTGTCGCAGAATTTTGACTTCCTTGGTTTACCAAACCCTTCAAAATGAAGTTATGTCATTGTCAAAAATATCAAGACTAATAGAAGTATAGGATCGTTGCAAAGGAAGGTCAAATGGAATTTCTTAATCTTTAATTATGATGCCATTCTTGTAGCATAACAGTTCAAGATACAAAATTCTACGGCATATATACCTCTAGCAATGGGGAAACAAAAACACAGAGCAAGGCACTAAGTTTTGTGTACAGAGATTAAAACTTGCTGTTAAGATCTAGGGTACAAAAAAAATTTTAACCAGTTGTATCACCTCAATCAATTAACGGGCATTAACGTGCGGTGTTCTGTCTCTGTAATTGACCTTATACCATTTTCATCAGGAGTTACTTCTTCCATATCTTCAGTTGGAGGGAAGCCGCGCTGTCGCCCAAGCAACCATTGGTCTATAACTCCACAATCAATTGCATACTTAATGGTATGCTCAATGTATCCTTTATCAGTTATCAGATCAGGCTGAACTGAGAACATTCGCATGATAGCTGGAAAAAAAAAAAACAGTAAGAACTGAGAAATATATAATATGGGGAAGAAGCAAAATTATTAAAAAAAATAATCTACATTCAGAAACCTATTTAGGTTATCAGAGCCTGAAAAAAATTCATCCCCAGAATACAGATATATACATGCTAAAGGTTAAAGGATTAAGTCTCACAAGGGAAACCATTTAGTGCATGTTATTTGTTTGACATTCAAGCCATCCAAATTTGGTTTTCCCAAAGAATCACGTTCAACCAGAATAACATGGCTTTAGAGTTGCTTCTGCATCCAAACTTGTTTTTGATATAAAGTTGGGGAGCTCAACACCAATGCAAACATGCATTTAGTTACATATGATCTTAAAGTAGTGTTAATGCGAACCTGCATTTGGTTACATATGATCTTAAAGTAGTGTTTTCATACATAAATTTTGTCTGATGCCATTTTATCAGCAACAAAGTATAGTACTTTACACCTTTCATCCTAGAACTTCATCTAATGCAAACTAAAATCCAAAATTTGCAGCTGGCTTAACTGGAATATGGAACAAACGAAAGAAACAATTGAGAACATCTATCTGAAACATGCCATGGTTTGTTAGAATATTTTTGCAGATTTTCAAAACATGAAGACAACAGCAAGCACGTTTGAAGTCTAAGGAAACAGCAATAAAATCCCAGGCCTCTGCATTTCTTCTACATCTCATAAGGTTATGCTTAAGTTTCTTTTTCTAGGCTCGCATTGTTTGAATGGACTGGCGCTGAATTGGGTAAAAATGCAAGGTCGTGAACCTTACAACATTGATCTCAAAAGAATACAACTGATTGTGATGCATGCGCAAAAGTGAAATAGGATAATAGAAGTGCAACACCATAAGCTCACTATGATGTACCTGCAACAATGCCATCTCCAGATGCTGACATATCACTAGTAAAAGGGGTAAGGGGGGCATCCTCCATCCCCAAAATAGCACCATCAAACTCCTTAGTGTAGTAATGTATCTTCGAAGTCCCATTAGTCACAAACAAAACCTTAAGATTTTCATGCCATAATTGTGCAACCACTTCAGGTTCATAATGGACAAACTTAGACCTGTCATTATCTTTGGTGTCAAATTCTTCAGATGGAGTGATCCCACATAAAAACTCTAATTCTTGCTTAGTGACCTCAATAATATCTGCAAGGTTCCACGCTTGCTGGATGAAATTCTTAGTTTCTTCTCTAGAGTGCCATAGTGGCATAGGAAGATTCAGATCATAAAAAATAACCCCTCCCAATCTCTTTGAAATTCTGATAGCTCGCAATGCAGTGGAGCTCATGCTACGATCAAGCAGAGAATGTGTGCTGAAGTAGAACATCTTTGCCTGAAAGAAATGTTCTTAAAACATTGAACAAGCATATGGGACTAGTCTAGTCACTCAAGAAGCAAAAATTAAATAAATCAAAGGATGACCTAAGTAAGCAAGAAGCATGATATATACAGAAACTAAAAGGCCTCAATGCCTGACGTGAAACCCAGTATGAAGTAATTCATGTTTTTACCCAGGTGAACTCGGTGTTTGTAATTGTAATCTACTTGTCAACCCACAATACATTAATTCAATGGAACAACTGCATGGTTACAAACTAGAGAATGATAAAAGACAAGAACATCTGGATTGCAAAATTTATTCAAATAGGTTAGATCTTCCAATTTGCTACTAAAGAAAACTGGTCCCCCACAGAGGACAAACATTTTGATGCAACAATTCAAGCTTGACAATACTGCTATATCAACAAAAATCAGGCTAGAGCTTATAAGATGCAGAAATTCTCTTCTCTAAAACTTGTCTCTTACTCAGGTTTTAAGTAGCATACCTCCTTCAACACATCAATGTTGATCTCGGACCTTGTTAAACAATCTTCAGCACAAGGTTTGACACAACTCATCCTCAATCGACCCCTCTTTCCAATCTTCATTAATGATACTGCTGTTGCCCTTTTACTATCAATACGGACTGATCGAGTTTGAACATTATTTACATTCATATAGTACAGCATTGCTTGACCATAATCATCATCCGCAAGTTTCCCCATGAAAGCAACCTTTCCACCCAAACTTGCGAGAGCAATAGCAACACTACCCGCAGAGCCCCCGGGGGCCCTAACAAATTTTTCTGGGCTCCACAGGGCATCCTTCATGCTTTCATGGATTTCATAATTTATAAGCCTATTGGCCCGCCTCCCAGAAGGCACAAAGCCATGCTGTGCAGATCCAAAGCAACAAACAAGGGGAGGCCAACCATAAGTAAAGCTAATATCCTCTCCATCATCTTTTATCAGTTCTAGGTCGTCCTCAATCTCCTCATCAGCATTTTCGATAACTAAAGGCTCGTCTTGGTCACTGATTTCAGCTTCACTGCCCTTATGCTCTATAATTACAACCTCCTTCTTTGGTATTTTTCGTGTCCTAACCTTTTTCTTTTTCTTCTCTTCTTCCACATTAGCAGCATTAGATGCATCTATTCAGAAAAGGGGGTTCAGCACTCAATAGCAAAATATATCACCCAAAAAGGACGATGAAGCATCCACATAATAATCAAGGGATTACCTTTTTTTCGAGTCCTCCGAGATTTCTTCTTGGAATCATCACTTGAGGCAGATGAACTTTCTTCTATGGAACCGTCACTAATTACCAATAAATTTGCGTTCTCTTCTAGGGACTCATCGGTTGATTTTTTCTTAGATTTTGTGGCAGCCTTTTTTGTTTTAGCTGACCTAGTTTTCTTCTTCCCCGATACAGACTCATTTTCATTGGATTCCTCTACTACCGAACCTAGAGAAGCTGCTGCCTTTTTAGCCATAGCAAGAGGACCCCATTTACAGCCTGACCTGAGTTCTCGAAGTTGCTCTAAGTTCGAAGAAGCGTAATACGACCACTTCAAGTGGTACCTGCGCAATTGTAAAGACTAGAGACTTCACATTCAACCACTACAGCGATATGTAAGCAAAATAAGAATATTGCGAATTGTTAAGAGCAGCTAAATTTCGGGCTCTTAGCCCAGACACAGTAATTTTGGGACTTCCTACAACCCCATTTCATGACTAACTCATGAATAGCATAAAGGAAGCAGTAGTAGCAAATAAAACCAAGAACAAGAAAATTTGTATCCTCAATTTACCGCAAGAAGGACATAAATTTTAAGAGCCAGCTTGAGAAAGAGATAGATAGAGAGAAACAGAACCTGGGAAGCGGGAGGAGCTGAAGGTAGGCTAGGCACGCCATAGAAAGAGCAAAGTCACAAAAACTGATGAGAATAACAAGTTTGTTTAGCCATGCCAAAAGCTTAGCGGAACAAGATGATGCTCTGTTTTGCTAGACTTGAGTTGCGAGGTTTAAGAAAGAAATGGTACAAAACGGCAAGGGTTTTTGGCGTTTCATCCTTTTGCGTGACGATATAATAGCCGTGTTTAGGACAAAACAAATTTTGTTTCTCTCCCTCTCTCTCTTCCCCTCTTTCCCTCTCATCTGATTCTTTTCTCTACTGTGTGGATGCTTCCGAGGCTGCTTTTTTATCAGAATTTGTTCTTGAATTTAATTCTTTCTCATCATTTCCTAATTTAGATACCCACAATATGCATCAGTTAGCAATGGCAATTTGAGAGATGCTTAAGGTAAGTAGTCTATCCCTCCATGCTTCTCACGCTCGCCAGGTGTTTGATGATATGCCGAAGAGACTGGTCTGTTTGTCTTCCCCTCAAGTAAGCAAAATCCAACTATGTGAAAACATGTTATTGTCTTGAAAGAAAAAAATGATGTGAAAACATATGAGCTTTAGCCATGAATCCTTGATGTTGATTGTATATTGGAAAAGAATTATTATTATTATTAAAGACTTTGAATCAAAGATATTTATAGGCTCTCCAAAAATTGGTTGATACTTTGATACTAGAAAAAAAAAATTGTTATTTTTTACAATTTTTTGTTTTAAAAAATCTCAATATAATTTCCTTTGCATAGAATAGATTTTTAGTATTTGATTCTTGTAAAATAATTTTAAGATTTAATTTTCTTATATGACCTGAAATTCTCAATTGCAAGTTTTTCTTATATTATTTAATATTTAATTTCAAAGGCTATGGTGTGAAATCACTTTTTGTTCACTGTGATAGAAAATGTCAATTGTTTCTGTTTCTATCTTGAAGAATGGCTAGGATACCAAATAGTGCTTGGGTGGAATAGGGGTTGCACTTGGCAAAGAAGCTGCTCATATGATGAATACCCTGTTGAAGTATCTACGGTCCCCCAGACAACAGCTTCTTCCTATCAGAAAGAACTTTGAAGGTAAATTTGGTGTTAAAATGGGGGAAAAAACACAAAAGAGACTCTTATTACTAGAATACTATGAATATGAATTTTCTTTTATGGGATGTTTAATAGTCACTCGGATGGACCTTTTTTGGCCTTTGGTGTTCCATCAGTCCTCTAACAGTGAATTGAGTTTTTCTTACCGGAAGTGGTTGCTTAGACCACAGAATTGATATTTAGGGATAAAGATGTGCTGATACAATGGTTGTTCTGAAACGTTATGCATACTGCTTAATGGTTTAGAGATAAATCCTTTATCTTTCTAGACTCTTTACTTCTGGATAATTGATCAAACCAAATTACCTGACTCTGTTTTGAATTTTCATTGCAGCATTGGGTTTTTCTGCTCTCCACACTGCCTCTAATTCGTCAGTGGAACTTCACTCGGAAGATCAGGAAGTTGTGATCGCTTTGGGAAGTAATGTAGGCGATAGGCTACAGAACTTCAAGGAGGCCTTGAAGTTAATGAGGAAGTCAGGCATAAACATCACAAGGCATGCTTGTTTGTATGAGAGTGCACCAGCATATGTGACTGATCAACCTTACTTTTTAAACTCAGCAGTTAGAGCAGTTACTAAACTTGGGCCCCATGAGTTATTGGCTGAACTCAAAAAATTGAGAAGGACTTGGGCCGTAAGGATGGTGGTATAAGGTATGGTCCAAGGCTAATTGACTTGGATATTTTATTTTGGAAAATACAAGGTAAGCTCCAACCTTCTGACTGTACCTCATGAAAGAATTTGGAACGACCATTGTGGTAGCTCCTTTGATGGATTTGCTGGGATCAGCCGTGGACAGTGACACAGTTGCTTGCTGGCATTCCTTTTCAGGCCATTCTGGTGGATTTGCTGAAGCATGGGAGAGATTAGGTGGTGAATCCCTTATTGGAGAGGAAGGCTTGAAAAGAGTCTTGCCTATTGCAGGTGGCTTGCTAAACTGGTCACAGAGAACTTCTGTAATGGGCATTCTTAATTTGACACGGACAGTTTCAGTGATGGGGGTACAATTTCAATCCGTAGATTGTGCTGTTTCACAGTTCCGCAAAATGATTGCCGAGGGGGCAGATATGATTGACATTGGAGCTCAGTCTACAAGGCCAAAAGCCACCAGGATCTCTGTTCAAGAAGAATTGGATAGACTAGTTCCTGTCCTAGAAGCTGTTCTGGCCATACCTGAGTCAATAGGAAAGTTTATATCTGTTGATACTTTCTACTCTGAAGTTGCTTCAGAAGCAGTTAGTAGAGGGGTTGGTTCATCTTATAAATGATGTATCTGCCGGACAATTAGATCCTAATATGTTCAAGGTCATTGCGGATCTTGAAGTCCCTTATGTTGCAATGCACATGAGGGGGGACCCTTCTACTATGCAGAATGCTGAGAACCTGCAATATGATGATGTTTGTAAGCAAGTAGCCTCTGAATTATATTCGCGAGTTAGAGAGGCAGAACTCTCAGGCATCCCAGCATGGAGGATGATCATTGATCCTGGTATTGGATTCTCAAAGAAAACTGAAGATAATTTAGACATTCTCATGGGACTATCTGATGTCAGAGCAGAGATTGCCAGAAAAAGCTTGGCCATCTCTCATGCTCCTTTGCTAATTGGACCTTCAAGAAAGAGTTTTCTACGTGAAATTTGCTCTCGACCGGCTGCAGATGAGAGAGATCCCGCAACAGTTGCTTGTGTCACAGCTGGTGTCTTGGTGGGGGGCAGACATTGTAAGGGTGCATAATGTTAGAGACAACCTAGATGCTGTGAAGCTCTGCAATGCAATTCAGAGACAGAGAAGTCATCACGCAAAATGCAGGCAATGATCTAGTTTTTGTTTCCGACGCTAGCATTCTCAGTGACGCTACTTGCTAGTCCAAAGAGACGACTGAACGTTGCCATAGAGCAGAAAGTTTGAAGTATCTTGGGGGGGAAGTATTGAGTGTTTGACAATATTTGTAGCTAGATCATAAACGTGCTATTATCAACTCAGTCCTTAAATTTATCTCTTTTATTTCAACTTGGTTCAACATTTTTGTAACATGATCACTGTTATCAAGAGCATGCCTGTAACTTAGCACTCGATCATTTTCTTATCTTTTTTTTTTTTTTTTTGGGTGCATTTTTATCATCTCGTTGGGCGGGATGGCAGTTTTCAACATACTATTCCATGCAGACGCAATGAATATCATTCTGCCACGCTGAAATTTCATGGGACATTTGACAACTAAATGGCTTCAGACACCTCATTCTGTCCCGCACAAGTGGAATGACTCCATCATTATCCTATCACCCCAGGCGTATGAAGCATTAGTATTGCTAATTGCACAGCCCTTGGATGCATAACTAAGTTTTGAAGTATCTTGGGGTGGAAGTATTGAGTGTTTGACAATATTTGTAGCTAGATCATAAACGTGCTATTATCAACTCAGTCCTTAAATTTATCTCTTTTATTTCAACTTGGTTCAACATTTTTGTAACATGATCACTGTTATCAAGAGCATGCCTGTAACTTAGCACTCGATCATTTTCTTATCTTTTTTTTTTTTTGGGTGCATTTTTATCATCTCGTTGGGCGGGATGGCAGTTTTTCAACATACTATTCCATGCAGACGCAATGAATATCATTCTGCCACGCTGAAATTTCATGGGACATTTGACAACTAAATGGCTTCAGACACCTCATTCTGTCCCGCACAAGTAGGAATGACTCCATCATTATCCTATCACCCCAAGGCGTATGAAGCATTAGTATTGCTAATTGCACAGCCCTTGGATGCATAACTGTATACGGATATGGTAGAGCAACATCTTAATTAGAGAATGGTTCAATTTGACCAATTGATGCTGCAGCCAGTTGTTCAGTTACACATACTTTGCATGGTGACTTGCAAACTCAATTTCCAACACCGTGCTTACTTTGTAGACTGTAAAATGAAGTGGCAAGAAAGTTTGGCCCATGTTATAACTAATTAATGAGTGAGATTTTATTGAACATCAAAAAGGTATCTGTAATATTATCAGCGCAAAGCAGAGTCTACTATTACATCAATACAGCCAGAATTCATGAAGGTATCAAACAGTTACAAGATAAACCACAAAATTGAGCAGAACCCAGCACTTGTCTCAAAATTCTCTTCATACAAGTGAGACAAACAAATGAACAAAGATGAAAGATAAGACCCATTAGTTCCCTGCCTACCCTATTTCTGAATCAATAGAAAGTTGTGACCACTTATATGAAGGTTATCACACATTATAGCTGACGTTGAAAATTAATAAAAAGCAGGGTTTCTTCATCAACTGAATTCCTTAGTTATTAGTTAAGAACCATTTTGCTTCAGAGCCTCTGCTTCAGCCTTTGCCATGGGATCATCCTTGATGTCAATTTCCTCTTCCTTTCTCCTTCTCGCTCCTGGGCCGTTTGTTTCTGTGTATATCTTGCAGCCTGCATAGCAGCTCGATTTTCTGCCTCAATACGACGCATTTCCTCTTCTTGCTGCTGCCGCTCAAACCAAGTATCCGCATCCGCCCAAACTGAAATCAGAACACAGATTCATAGAATCAATCACAAAGGATGAAAGTGACCTAGGCTCTCCGGACAAAATTTTGAGAGAGTAATTTATGGATATATAGCTTGTTAATAAATCTCCACTCATTAAAATTGTTTGTGAGTATAATAAAAAAAAACATGAAAAGCAATCATATCACTGCCAAGAAGGAGAAGAACCACAGTTTCTATATTTCTACTTCACTAATCATTCCATTATCTTACCTTTCACAATTTAGCTTGGCTGGATAGTGAAGGTGAAGGTGTATCCTTCACCAGGATTAAAATGCCACATGGTCATCAATGTAACTTTGAAACATGGATTATGAATTACGAGTGATAAAAGCAATGGCTGTGCAGGAGGAGGAAAAAAGCAATATGCATACTGATAGATGTATGTCGAATATATGAGGGCACATACTTGGATAGAGTCAGGGATACTACATGATTCAGTAAGGCTATATAGAGATTCCATGATTGATACTTAAGAGAATTTCATAAATAATACACAAACCAGAGGATAAGACATAAGAGGGGCCATGTACATGTCTACCCTGCATATCTTAAATAGGAAAAATAAATTTAGCCAATTAACTGTATCTGTGTAAATAATTCAATGAACATGAAAGTGATGAATCCAATCAGCAATAAGCTCGTGGAACTGAACTTCTACTGAAGTCATTGTTAAAATAGCGATTAACTGATTAAACATTCAAAAGTAGGATGATAACAGGTCCAGTTATTTAATGCACATGTTACATGACTCCATCTAGAGGTTCTACTATTCTCTATGTATCACTTGATCACATATTTACCCCATTAGCTATAAATCCTGCGTATTATAAAGTCAAGAGATAGCACATATTGTCTAAGAGCAGCCCGCCAAAAAAAGCTAAGAGAAAAGAGTACAGGTAGTACTGGCATAATATCTACAATTGGATTCAAAAATATAGATAGGTTTAACGACAAAATTAGGACGCAAAACTTTCAGAAATCAGTGAGACGCATCTACGGGCTGTTAAATTGAATCATTGGGGGGGGCAGAAATTGAGGGATTAGGGTTTGCTATAATTGAAGGAAAAGAAAAGGAACGCACTTGGCTGAGCAGCCCAACCCTGTTCACCACCCTTAATGCGCTCAGGAAGGGCGTAGTTAACAGTAAGTAACACGGCCGTAGAGTTCAGCACCGTCCATGTTGTCCATGGCGGCGGCGGCGTCCTCCCTCTCCAAGAAGGTGACGAAGCCGAAAGACCGGTGCTTCTGCGTGGCCTGGTCAAGCGGCGTCTTGACGTCCTTGATGTCGCCAAAGGGTATGAAGGCAGCGTGAAGAATGCCTCGTTCACTTCCTCCGCTAGCCCTCCCACGTACAGTGTGTTCTTCTGAACACCTTGCATCGCCATTGCCGCCAGTTGCAGGAGCTGCAACAATTCACAATACAACGATGACGGAATGACTGAATGGCTCAAATTGCGAATTCGAGTCGAATTCGAAGTATGAGTATGATACTGTGTTTTATATAAAACTAGATCATGCCTTCTGTATCTGAAAATGTGGTAAGCAAATAGTAGATTATAGATGTTTAATCACAGTACAATTTCAGGGAAACAGAGGGGAAAATGAAAGAAAATCCCTTATTATTAAAGGCAAATAACAATAAAATGTTATAAAATGTCATTATTTTTTAAATATAATGGACTTTTAAAAAATAATTAAAATACTTTTAATTTAAATTAAATAGTAATAGTAATTGCTTATTATGTTGTAGGTAAAAAAAAAAAAAACTTATTATTTAAGGGTAAAGAAGTCATCTGTATTTATAACACTTAAACATTAATGAAGTAAAAAATTGCATAGGAAAGTTATAATTATTTATTTTATTTTAATTATTGTTAGAAAAAAATTATTATTTAAATTAAATAATTACGATATTTATAATACTTGACTTTAATTAATGAAACAATTGTACATGAGAAGGGTAATTGCCCATTCCATTTTAGCATTGTTAAAAAAAAAAAGTCACTATTTAAACTAAAATAATCATATATTATTTATATACTTGAATCTCAATGAATCAAAAATTAGTCATAACATGATGATTTTTAATTTTCAATTTATTTTCATATGTATATTTTTTATTTTTATTATTGTCTTTCAAAGCAAATAAATTTTTTTATTTTTTCTATCGTTTAATTCATATACTGTTTCATACATCAAAATTTTACTGTAATAATCTAGAAAAAGTTGATGATAATATATTTAAAATTAATAAAAGTCATTGTTACTAAAATAAGAGTAAAGGAAAAAAATTATTCAAAATGATCCAATCATTTTGATTTCATGTTAACTTTGATTCTAGCAAATCACTCGATTCAAAATAGTCCAAAGTGATTTAATTTCCAAAATGGTTAACGAGTCAAACTAAGCCATTTTTGTATCCAAATAGCAATCCAATTGGTTCGATCATTTTGTGTTATTTTGATTCTTAAAACATTACTTCTAATCATATTTTATTAGAATTTAAAAAACTTTATATCTCATCAAATATACAAAGAAAATGAATTACAAAGGTGAGAAAATGAAAGAGTTTGCTCTGTTTGGATAGGGGAAAAATATAAGAGGAAGAAAATATGAAAAAAAATATGAGAGAAAATGAATTTTTCCTATCTGAATGAAAAAGAAAAAGTGAGAGAAAAGAAAAGTTGGAAGAAAATGAAAGTGAGACCCATTACATATTCTTCCTAACTTTTTTCTCTATAATGGAGAGATTTTGAGTGTAAAATATTTTTTTCTTTTTCTACCCTCTCCTTTGTCTCTTAACTATTTTTCCGCTAGACCTATCTTAGACTAGTGACCTCGATGAAGAATATGATGACGATGATGAGCCATACAGCACAAGAAGATGAGACATATGGAAAACTTGCTTATCTAGATATATTTTCATTTGTTTGTATAAATCCTATAATAATATATATATATATATAGTTATTTATATTTAATTTTAAAAAAACGCCACCTTTTGATTTTTTAAAATATAAAAATGACATATTTTTACAAACTTATTTGATGTTAAATATAATAATATGGAAAATAAATTTTAACAAGTTTCTTCTTTCATTTTTTAAAAAAATATAATAAAACATAATATATAAGGGCATTCTAGATATTATATTGTCTATCATTTTTTTTCTTCTCTATTTTCTTTTATCCATCAAAACAAGAAAAGTGATAATATTTTTTTTTATTTTTCTCTTATTTTTTTTTCTTTTTATTTTTATCTTTGTAACTTTTCTTCCTATCCAAACATAGAGTTAGAGTAGTTGAAATTTTAAATAATTAAATTAAAAAGAATTTTAAATTATAAGAAGTTATAATAATATATGAATAATCTGCCAACATCTAGACGCATACTAAGGTTATTATTTATTTAATGCAAGGCAGCACTAGCCAGTGCAAAATTTAAATTGTCTCTTTCAACCAAAACAAAAAATCGTAGAATTTTATATAAATAAAAGTAATTAAGTGACAAAACTTTCGGAAACAAATAGAGGCACGCCAGGAAATGCAGTGGTGGGACAAATGACATTATGCAATTTCCAGGTAGCTTCTTGCAGTACTTACATAGTTTTTTCATTTTTTACTGTTTGAAATTTAATTAAATATTTTTATTTTTAGGTGATAAATAAATTTATTTTGTATTATATTTTAAAATAAAGTATTAAAATAATATAAAATTTACATCATATATAGCAATGTACTCTAAACAAAGACCAAAAATTGGGAAGTCGGATTTGATTGGAGTTCTTAAAAGCAACACCAATGGCACTTTATTGAGACTAATAAACCTCAAATCAATATTTCTATCGTCACTTAAATACCAACCAGTCCGTTACCCAAAAAAAAAAAAAAAATTTACCTACCAGTCCATTTTTTTTTTAGAAAAACCAATATTATTAATATAAATTTAATATTAGTTACAACTTAGAAAACAATAACGCAAGAAAAAAATATTTTTCTAATCTTATTTATAAGACAGAGAAAAATATTTATTTTGGACTCTTTTATAAGCACTTCGATGATTTTTGTGTCTATCTTTACCTTTTAATTTTATAAAATATTGAGAAAGTTATTGAATGTTAAATTATTTTATTTTTATTTCATAAATGCTTTTATTAGATGACAATATATCAATATTACTAAATTAAAAAAGTTATGGATTAATCGCAAGGATTTTGGTCAAAATTTTTCAATTTTAGATATGATCATTAAAAATTAATCAACTTTTTAAATCATGTAAGTTGATTAAAATTGCATAATTTGAAAATGAAGGTAGTGGCATAGACATTATTGTACCGTTACCACAAAAAAAATAAAACTTATTCATAATAGAATGCCCAAAAAAGAAGTGATTCATAATATGATTTTTCTAAATTTCAAATGTATAATAGTCCCTAAGAAAACACTTTACAATAATGAAAATTAGCTTTTGGCTTATTGAGATTAATCATTCATATATGTGGCCAAAATTTAAAGATGTGGGAAGCATCCAAGGTTATAAATGTACAAAAGACATAGTTCCTTTAATTTGCTTAAAACTCCAAGCACTTGACATCCAAATAATCCCAAACAAAAGTGAGAAAACCTTATTGACCTTTTCTCTTCTCTTCCATGGCTGCGCTTCCATTAATTATGTTCACTGTTTCAATCTTCCTCCTCATCACTACTTCATCTTCTTCTGCTGATACAAATTCCAAGGTTATTCTCTTCTGCATCATCATTAATTTCTGCAAATTCTTCTAAACATGAAACTTCTGCAAATTTCATTGATTGTAATTTGCAGGTTTTGGAGAAATGCTCAAGAAGAAGACACTGTGAAGAAGGGATGTTCTGCAATTCTTGCCCTGCAAAATTTGAGGGATCAGATGTGTCAGATCAACATCTTCAACCTTTCAAGCTTCTTGTATATGTGTGTGTGTGTCTCCTCCATTCCACAGACTCTGGAAATTATTGAAGTTTTCTTCTCAGAAATTTCATGCTACTAATTCCTCTGAAGAACTTGAAATTTATGAGAGCAATGCATTCAAGTTTCATGAGCATTAAGTTAGTTCTGGAGTTTGTGACTTGTATTGCATTAGCTATTGTTTTTGCATAGTCTCACAGAGTGAGGGTTCAAATTAATTTAGACGATGGTAATAATACCTTCAAATTTTTGAGGATATAGAGTGATGAAATTAAAGAAAAAATATTGTTTTGGAAAAAATATATTAGTTGGGTTAAAAATTGAAGTTGAATTAAACAAAATTCTCTTAGAGTTGTATGAATAATTAAAGTAAAAAAAAAGAATTAAAATTTGTATTCCAAATTCCTAATTGGCCTTCATTGATTTATAGTTGTCTCGGAGGCAATAATTAATTTGATGATGATTTCTTTTTTTATTTGCAGAGATGTATAAAAATATTATACTAACAAATTTGAATTGAGCAGGATGATACATTGCCATTCAATAGATACGCATATTTGACAACACACAATTCATTTGCAATTACAAGAGAAGTGCCCAAATCAAACCAAGCACTAAATCCTGAGGGCTTTTTTCCCAGAGTCACGTTCTCAATCAAGAAGACAGTATAACACAGCAGTTACATGTAAGAACAAAATATAATTAATTTTTTTATGTTGCTTAATTCATGATGATGTAATTAATTAATTAATAATATAAGGAAATTAATTTATATTGCAGAATGGAGTTCGAGCTCTAATGCTGGACCACTTATGACTTACAAAGGAGACATTTGGTTGTGCCATTCCTTCAAGGGAAAATGTTATCCCACTACTGCATTGTAAGTGAGATACTTACTTGTTTACCAACCTTTATAAATTATAATTATAATAATTTATATTTTATATTATATGTTATATTTTCTCTTAAAAGAAATTCGGTGGTTGATGGGTAAACATGAAGAAAGAAAACAGCTGGGCCAACTCAATTCACTTATTTAGAGGATTTTTAATGGAATCATATAAAAAATTAGTTTTTTTTTCCATGGAAAAATTGTGTGATAATTTTCTAAGAATTATTTTTATCATTTTTTCCCCAAAAAAAAAAGAAAAGAAAGGCAGCCCAACTAGAATTGACTCAAGCCTAAATACAATTTAAAAGCCCAATTTGATTGGGACGTTGTCAAACTTGGCCCAATCTTAACCTATGAACTTCTAATCAGACGTGCCTTTTTTATACTACAGGCCAGAGAACACTACGATGAGATTTGATTATTTATATTTAATATTTTTTAAAAAATATATATTAACATGTACTGTTAAAATTTAATCTAAACAGTTCAAACTTGTCATTGAGGCTCATAGAGAAAAATGGGAGTGAAAAAAAATTATGTCCTTTTATATATATTCTCTATACATTTATTGACCTAGACATGATAAAAATGAATAAAAAAAAATCACTCACCCACACACACACATATATAAATAATATTTTTCAATCAAATTAAATATGTAATGGCTAATGTTAATGTCAAATG